GACGGGGAAACGTTGAATGGTGATGTTAATGGCAGTGATAGTGCTGGTGAAGGCAGGAACAAGGGTGATGATGATGGTGAAGGTGACAATGACAAACGATGAAATAGCGAAAGCCTCTGCTTCTGAACGGATGTAACGTGTAGGCTGGAGTATTGGCTTCACCACTGACTACGACCTGGTCCCTTTAGCTTCTCTCCGTCTCCCTACTACATCTATAAAATTGTGATTAACCACCACTTCTGCCCATAGGCTTGCCACAAGGTTCAAATGAATTAAAACACACCTAACATTCCTGGCACATAGTAAGTGCTCAATGAACATTAGCTATCGTTACAAATGGTGTTGTTATTGTCATTGTTGTTGCTATGTTCCCTTGAGTTACAGAATCGTTCTGTTTGTCCTGAGCTGGCACTCTTCAAAGAAAGCCCAGCCTTGGTCAGCACAGAATGACTCACCGCCCACCAGACTTCCCCACTCCTAACTTCTACTCGTTCTACCATTCGGTGCCCTGGGCACGTAGTTGTTCAGAGGCTGCCGGTGCGTGGAAATCCTCCATGAGAGTGGATCCTGCAATCTGACATCTGTGAAATGAGGAAGGGGACAGGGATGGGGAAAATCTATGTGGTGGCCGCCTTGAAACAGTGTCCACAAAGATAAGTGTATGTCCGTCACTGGGGCCGGCTCAGGCAAGCTCGCTTTCGTGCTTAGCGTGGTGCTGCTTTGCCATGTGGCACTGGGGATCCTTTCAAAGTGACGGGCTGGGTGCCCGGAGCTCGCTGGCTGCACAGAGAGGGAGGTGAGGGAGCCACGGAAGTCGGGATGTCGTACCGAGTCCTGGAACCTGACGGCACCCCTTCCTCACCTGCCCGCCTTGCCTTTCAGAGACCTGGACAGCAAGTCGTGCAAAGCTCTGGCCCTTGGCGGGGAGAACGACCGAGTCTTCAGTGACCTGTGGGGCAAAGGCAACGCGCCCGTCATCCTCAACAACCCGTATTCAGAAAAGGAGCAGGTGAGGGGCTGCCAGCCGGGACCCACACCCTCCCACCGCTTCCCAGGCTGCTCCCCGGCAGGAAGTGGAGGGGAGTGGGGTCACCTGGGCCAGAAGTGCTGATCCCGGGGTGTGCTTTCCAGCTTGGTTTGGAAGTTCCTTTGCTTTGGGATTTGTTTGCAAGCTTGCCATTTTTCAAATTTGAATTCTGTTTCTGCCAGAAAAGACACTCACAGGTTCCAAATTCAAAAGCAATCAAAGATGCCTGGTCATAAATGCTTTTCTCTCCTGTAATCCCAGCGACGTTTCCCTTCCCCAGAGGCCAGCAGTATTCATCGGTTTCATGTGTTCTCTTAGTAATATCCTCTACACGGAGAAATATATATACACATGCGTGCCATTTGCATATTTTCCTGCAACGAGAACCTATTATGCATATTGTTTGGTCCCGTGTTTTCTCACTTATCAACATTTCTAGTAGATGAGTCCCAGGTAACAGGTGAAGAGAGGCCAGGTTACTTTTGCCAGCTGCGTAATATTCTGTTGCTTGGTTATGCTTGGTCATTCTGTGGCTTGGTTTTATTGAGTGATTCCTCTATAATGGACACTTGACTGTTTGCCCTGTTTTGCTGTGACGGCTGTCGTGCGTGACACTGTGCAGATAACTCAGGTGGCACTCGAGCAGGCTTACCGACAAGATAAACTCCTAGAAGCTGAACGACTTAGTCAAAGGCCATGTGTGTTTATGGTTTGGGCAGAGATTACCCAAGCACTCACCGCAGAGATCGTACCCATCCTGCCAGCTAAGCAGGAGACTGACTGTTTCCCTTCAGCCTCGCCAACTCCATCTGTTATCGAAGGTTCCATCTTTACCAGTCTGCTGGGATGCATGTCGACAGCTGGGTCTGTATCCTTTTCCAAGAGTGGCTTGTTTGGCTGGAGAAGAGCAGCCTCTTGTCCTCTCCTGCCTAGGCAGCCGGTGGCCAGGCCAGAGCGACCCTACCCACCCCCTTGCAAGGCAGTGGGGCAGGGCTGGCCTGACCAACAGGAGGCGAGGAAGCAGTGGCCCAGCCCCTCAGCAGAGGGGCACCCTGAGTCCTTCTCCCTCCAGCTGGCCAACGCGTGGCACTTTTAATAACACAGCTCACCTAAACGAGGACTCAGCCTCTGTACAGGGGCGCAGCACGGAGGATCGGATATGCTGCAGCCTTGGTGGGAAGGGTTTTGCCTGAGCTGTTGGTGCCCCGCCAGGAAGGACGGGCTGTCGGGGATTGTCTCTTCTTCTAGCAGTGATACCTGGGAACATTTGGCGGAAGACCCACTTGTAAACACGTATTTCTATCTTCAGGAATTAAGGCGAGCCCAGTACGGTGACACACACGTGTCATCCCAGCACTCTGGGACTCTGAGGCAGAAGGATCACTAGTTCAAGCCTAGCTTGGGTGACTTAACAAGGCTGTGTCTCAAAATAAAAAGGCTTGGAGGTGGAGCTCAGGGTGAAAGCCTTAGGTTCAATCCTCAGTACTGCAAAACAAAAGACAAAAAATTCAAGGCACACTGGAGCATGGCTGGTACAACATGTGCTTAGCACGCTTGAGGCCCTGGATTCAATCTCCAGTAAATAATAAAAACAACTTAATAACATTGCCCCTATTATGAGCAGTAAGGAACTCTTATCTGTGAATGATTACATGAATTTATCTAGTTTAAAATTCCTTTCTAGTTCCTTTTTTAATTGAACATGATGGGCAGGGCCATACCTGGAGCCCTCCCAAAACAGAATGACAGAAGGAGACAGCCTCCTGGAAATCCAGGCTGTAGGTACGATTTGTCGGGTCTATACGGTATTTTACTTTATTGCCATTTTTAAAATTTTTTCACGTAAAAATATTCTAAACTTTTAAAATGTGCACAGCCAGCTGGGCATGGTGACACACACCTGTAATCCCAGCACTCAGAAGGCTGAGGCAGGAGGACCGTTGAGAGTTCGAGGCCAGTGTGGGCTACACAGTGAGTTCCAGGTCAGTCTCAACTATGTACTGAGACCCCGTCTCAAAAAAAAAAAAAAAAAAACCTAAAAATAAAATAAAATGTGCACAGCCTGGGCCAGGGATTTAGCTCAGCGGTTCCGCTGCCTGCCTTCTCCTCAAGCACAAGGGCCCAGGTTCGATCCCCCCTACAAAAAAAAAAAAAAAAAAACCTAAAAATAAAATAAAATGTGCACAGCCTGGGCCAGGGATTTAGCTCAGCGGTTCCGCTGCCTGCCTTCTCCTCAAGCACAAGGGCCCAGGTTCGATCCCCCCTACAAAAAAAAAAAAAAAAAAACCTAAAAATAAAATAAAATGTGCACAGCCTGGGCCAGGGATTTAGCTCAGCGGTTCCGCTGCCTGCCTTCTCCTCAAGCACAAGGGCCCAGGTTCGATCCCCCCTACAAAAAAAAAAAAAAAAAAACCTAAAAATAAAATAAAATGTGCACAGCCTGGGCCAGGGATTTAGCTCAGCGGTTCCGCTGCCTGCCTTCTCCTCAAGCACAAGGGCCCAGGTTCGATCCCCCCTACAAAAAAAAAAAAAAAAAAACCTAAAAATAAAATAAAATGTGCACAGCCTGGGCCAGGGATTTAGCTCAGCGGTTCCGCTGCCTGCCTTCTCCTCAAGCACAAGGGCCCAGGTTCGATCCCCCCTACAAAAAAAAAAAAAAAAAAAAAAAAATGTGCACAGCCTGATCACATTGCGTCCATATTTCTAGGGGCAGCCGTCTGCATAGCCTAGTAAGTGCCCTCCCTAGGTAGGGTATGAGCCCCTGATTTGCTACCTGTTCTCACCTTGTCATTGAGACCAAGTGTCCCTTGTCATTTATTACATTAGTGCTGTTGGTTTTCTTATAATAGGATGGAAATTAAATCTTTTTTTAATCCACACCTTTATTATAAGTAGCAAATAAAAATAGACCAAGAGATCCCCGTGCATCTGGAAAAAAATTAGATTTATTTTTTGACAAAATGAAGAATATTAATTACATGTTTAACATGGGTGGTTTGGTTTTTTTGTTTTGTTTTTGGCAGGGGCAAGTATAGAATCCAGGACCTTACACATGCTAGGCAAGTGCTCTACCCTTTGGCTCCAGCTCAAAATGCTCTACCTTTGAAACTTTCTGGCTGCTTTTCTGACTCACCTGACCTCCCCTTTGCCTCCAGATTTGAGAGTTTATGATCCCTTGTCTGCAGTAGCCTTTGAGTTGTGGGTGTAGGGTAAAGCCTTGACCCCTCCAGGAAGAAACCGAAAGCCACCTCAGAAGTCTGATCAATGGCAAGACGGTGGCCACTTTCTTTCATGCCACTCACCTTGTTTATAAAGTGGCAGTCTGCACCAAGCGTGCTGATGCCCACCTGTAATCCCAGCTACTTGGGAGGCTGAAGCAGGAGGATCACAAGTTCAAGGTCAGCCTGGGCAACTTCGTGAGACCTTGTCTCAAACTAGAAAAAAAGAAGAGGGCTAGGAGTGCTAGAGTGTTTTCCTACAGGTGTGAAGCCCTGGGCTTGATTCCCAGTGCAGGGAAGGGGAGGTTCTTTAAAAACAGTATCTGAATAGCGGGACTCCATATTGAGAATACCGCAGAGACGATTCCAGCAGAACCAGCCGCCTCTTTGCCAGCTTGGTAACCAAGGATCAGGGAGGGCTTAGGGACTTGCCCTGGGGCCTCCCCTGAGATGGAAGTCCCACTTCCCTGGAGGAGAAGAAATAGACGTCAAGGGTCTTAGGAAAAGGGAGGAACACTGAATCCTCCAGAGGTCCCGTAAGATATGCAAGGAGTTTCAGCCCGACAGACCCCAGCGGAGGCTGGGGTTCCAGTTCCCCACGTAAGTCCCGACTCTCCCCGTCCAAGCCATGGCCTATGAGATCACCCTGGCTCAGCTGCCTAAGCTTTGATTTTCCAAATGCCTCTCAAAGCTGAAAGAAGGCAGAGACCTGAATCCTGGGTTATATTAGAGGCCCGGCCCCAGAGCTAAGCCATCAGCCTGCTAGACATCTCCATAGCCCTGGGCTTCAGAAACACTCCCAAGCTGAGCAAATTAATAGAAAACACCGTGTTCTTATTCCACCCTGAAAACCCCACACCTATACTTAGCCTCTCCTCTGCCTGCTCAAAGGCACGCTACCTGTGGCTCTCGGAATCGGCTTCCTTCCTCGTGGTTGTAACCTACATTTCCTGCTTTGTAAAGCATCCACGGGGGCTTGGCATTGTTAATCACACAGAAAGGGACCCAGCCACAGCCCGCTTCCCTGAGTCAAGAGGAAGACAAGTGGCAGGAGGCTGTTGGTCTGCACTTCCCCCAGCTCCGGGCAAGAGGCAGGAGGTGCAGCCAACTAGATGCAGGCTGGACCCAAGAAAGAACTTCCTGCCTCGGCAGACTGAGCTCCCTGAAGGAATAACGAGGTGGATCCCTTAGTGGGGCGGGAAGGATTCCCAGCATTCTTGAGGCTCTTATTTGTCTAAATTCAGGGAGAATCAGCCATAGAGACACCTTCTGTCAAGTGAGTCTTGGAAAGTGAAGTTGTCCGTCTGTATGCAAGGCTTTCACTCAGGGGCTTGGGTGGCAGTGGGTAGGGTCAGTGAGACTCAAGTTCCCAATCCTTAGATCACGCGGTGTGGGTGACTCTGTGACCCTCACCTTTAATATCCCTTTGCACATTGCATCCGGCCTGAGAGAGGAAATGAAATGACTCATTTCAGCCCTCGCCAAACTTTGCTCGAGAACCTGCCACATGCATATCCCTGGGGTGGAAGCAGGATGGGTTTGGAGACCCTCACAGTCAAAGGCAGAGACAGATGCATACACAGTGCGATTCCTGCAAAAAGAGAGGGGGACACAAAGTGCTAGGGGAGCATAAATACCTTCCTGGGCTGCAGGGAAGATTTACCAAGAGGTGATGTTGGACTGGGTTTTGAAGATTGAATAGGAATTTGTCTAGCAGAATGTAGAGAAAGGCATTATAGTAAAAGGAATGGCTGCAGCTGACGT